GGGGCCGTGACGCCATGTGTGTCGATGTATTTGCTGAAGGCCCTCTGTGCGCCAGCGTCGATGTCGTCGGCCTCGTCGGTGCTGCGGGAGAGCGGCATCGCCAGCTGCTTCACCTGAATTGCAAGACACACACACACACACACAGGGAGAGGTATGGAGACTGAGTGAGTGTCCCACCCACTGAGTCTGCACACCTTGAAGTCGGCCGTCTTGACTTTGAGCGTGATGTGTCTGCTCCTCATGAAATGCGATTTCAGATCCTCTGCAGAGATGAGCCCGACCACAGTCGACAACAACTCCAATGTGCTGCGGCGTGTGTGCGTACCAGCTAGGCTCTCGGCGATGTCTCTGAGCTTTTCCTCGAGAAATTTCCGATCTTGGGTCGCTCGGAAGGTCCGCTCGCAGCTGAATGACTTGCGCTCTGACGCCCGGCCCTCGCCGTCGATGCCCATGGCCGCACGCAGCAGAAACTGGGTCGACTTGTCGCTACACGCCTGCAGCAGCCATACCAATGATGCATTGACTGCATCATCATCATCAAGAATTGGCATTCCTGGGAGTCTTTCTCCTACACACACACCTGTGTGATGAGGACGGCATTGTCGAGGATGTCGCGGCAGGTCTTGATGTTGAGCGCCTCCAGCTTGTGCTCACCCACCTGTAAGCACAACACACACACAGAAACAAAGGGACGCTCGAATGCATCCATCCATCCATCCACTTCTGGCGCAGAGAGAGGCCGGCTGACGTAGGTACCTTGCCCACACCGGGTATCTTGCGCACACTGAGGCTGTCCATGAAGCCCGCTGCATCACGCTCCTCGATGATCGTCTGACCTGATTGATCGGTGAGCACATGGCACAGGGAGTGTCAGCAGCAGCCCATTGGGGACCCACTCGGTGTATTGTGGTGCGCACCATTGGGCTTGTTGAAGTCCGATGCGATCTTGGCCATCATGCGGCCGGGAGCGATGCCTGCGCTCGCCGTCAAACCTCTCGTGGCCTCAGTGATCCTGATAACAAAGCGAGGGGCGCAGCAGCGGTGCCCATGACAGGTGTGGGTGTGCCTGGTGGGGTGGGGTGGGTGCGATGTTCACTTTTCGCGGATCTCTGTGGCGACCTTGACCCTTCCCTCGTGGCTGTCCAAATCATTCTCCCTGTGGGCAGCCCACGGACACGTTCAAAATGGCAGAGTGGCTTTCTGTGTGGGTGGTCACTTGAGGTAGTCAGTGAGGTTGAGGAAGGCCTCGTCGAGCGAGCCCATCTTCAGGTGAGGGTCAAACTCCGACAACACCTGCACACACACACAGCCGGGCGCGCGGGTGTCGTGTCTGTCTGCCTGCTGGGTGCCCTGCCCACCCTTCGCACGGTCATGGACTCTGCTTGGTACTTCTGCATGTTGCCGCTGCAAAGACACAAGGGCACAGACAGACAGACAGGCTGCGTCCTCGCTGTCCGCCGCATCAGGCAATCCTTGTTGCCATGGCCTTACCCGACGAAGACGAGTTCTGCGCCTTGATCTGCGCATAGCTTCTTGCCGATGAAGCCGGGCATGGCCGCCCGCACCCCGTACCGCCGTGCGACGTAGTTGGCGGTGCAGATCATGCCGGGGCCGCCCACCGCCACCGGCTTATCCTTCAGAGATGGGTCGTCGCGGATCTCGACTTCATAAGGGAAGCAGGACGACACACAGAGGTGACGATGTGATGTGCGTGTCGTGCTGTGTGTTTTGACGTACGTACCGGCGCAGTAAAACATGTCCATGTCTACGTGGCACCACCATGAGCCCCTCTTGCTCTCCCTCTCCTTCTCCAGACGCTGCAGCACCCCACGCACCGACTGCTCGGCCTTCAGGCGCATCTCGGGCTGGGAATTGCTAAGAGGGAGGGAGCCACACACACGGACACTCATACGCACCACCACACTGCAGGCGAGCACCACCATTCCCACCCAGTACCGATAAGCCTCTAGGTGTGCCTTCATTCTGTCGATGTCCTCCTTGCGGTTATCGTCTTTGCGCTGTTCGTTCTTGAAGTAGCTGCTGTTCTTGGACATCTCATAGATGGTCTGGTTGGCCTTCTCGCGGTCCACCTTGTCCATCCCTGCACACACCACAAGGGACACACATCACATGACCTGTCATTCAGGAAGATCTCACATGAGGCGCTGCACCACCGTGGTGAGAATTCTCACCGGCCTTATTGTTTGTGAAGTTGAACAGATGGTGGTAGTCCTTCTCCGCTTGGCCATATAGAGGGCCGCCATCAGCGGCAGCAGTGCTGCTCGGCGGCTGACGTGACGAAGTCGGCTGTTCTGCAGCGCCCTCCTTCGCCATGATGCTACAACAGCTACCAACTAGAGGGAGTCCTCCTTTCTTGAGTTTCCCTTCGCAGCAGCGGTTTCATGGAGCACCCTAGGCGGCCTGACGGCCAAGTTCTACGCTCGCCCTCCAAACGACCCTCTCCACACAGTTTCCCTATGCTCACGGTTGCTTCAATGCGCCACCAACACCTTCCACACACTCGCCGTAAATTGCGAGCTTTTTTGCGAGCTTAGAAAGTTTTTAGGACGAATGGAGTGATGAGGAGAACGGGACCGACCATGAGTAGCAATCCGGCATCTTTGACAAACCGAGGTGATAAGCTCCAACCTCGACGAGTCCCACTCTGTCCGAGAGCAGTTTTGACATCCGCTCGCGGATTCTGACCTTGGCTGTCCTCTCATCGCACTCACTCGGCGTCGAGTGACAGCACACGGCGTGTCATTGCTTCCCAAGCCCGCTGCATCCCTTGTGTCTCCCTCCCGCTGCTGATCCACGTGTGAGTCGCCAACCATGGCTGGCCGGCATCCTGAGTATAGCGACTCGGAGAATGGGGACGCTCCCATGTCGTCGGAGAGCGAGAGCGAGTCCGAGGCCAAAGCGGCCAAGCCCAGCGCGACGCTTTCGTCTGGACCGCCACCCGCCACCGCCGTCATGCATCCCCATGCCAACGCACCCATGCCGCCCCGTCTGCCCCTCACTCTGCCTGTGCGACGGCTGCCGTCCCCCTCCCCCTCTCCCTCTCCCCCTCCGCAGTTTCACCCGACCTGGCCGCAGCAGTATCAGATGCAGATGCGGCAGTTCCGGCCGCCAAGCATGCCGCTCCAAGGGATGGTTCAGTACGGCGCGCCAGCCGTGCCGACTCTGCCGAGGCCGCCCTTCTTCACCCTTCCGCCGCGAGGGCAAGGCCTCCTGATCCCTCCTCGGCTGGTGCCCCCGATGATGATGCGGCCGATGTCTTCAGCTGCCGCCGGTGGTGGTGGTCAGGCGACACTGACCCGGTCTGGCCGAGTCTCGCGTCCCAAGGCCAAAGCCAAGAAGAAAAAGTCGTCCTATGACATGGACGATTTCCTCGACGACGATGAGGACGAGGCCGAGATGAGCGACGAGGAGGAAGAAGAGGAAGACGTCAGCGAGTACGAGGGCGAGTCTGACAACGAGTACGGCGCGCCTTCACGAGGCAGCAGGAGGCCCGCCAGGAGCAGCAAAAGGGGCGGGGGCGGTGGAGGGGATGATGACTCGTATGAGGATGGAGAGTCGGGGAGCGACTTCGGTGGGGGCAAAAAGGGTGGGAAGCCAAAGAGGCAGTCCGCGCCGCTGCGCACGTCGTCTCGGCACGCGGGCAAGGAGCGG